AAAACTAGTATATATATATATATATATATAAAAGAAAAATGAAGTTTGTGAATGAGATGTAAATATAAGAAATTGAGCGTTATAAATCTTCCAATAAAAAAAAAAATTAGTCCTCTAACATTTTCTTAAACATCATTGTTTGAAATACGTAGGTTCCCTATTACAATTTAGCAAATCTTATCCCGTGGGATTCTTAAATGCAAATCTGGCCTCGTTTCCGTTGGCACGACGTCTGGAATCCAGATTACTCCCTTCTCCCTCTTCAATAAAACCCTAACAGCAAGAAAATGAGTGCCACGCTGGAGTGCCCCAAGGGAAGAAGAAGAGAACTGTAAGAGGATCGGGATAGTGAGTTTGGGCACTTTTATCCCCCCTGCTCGTTCGAATTCCGGGAGATGTCGCTGCGTATAAAGGCCGTGGTGGACAAGTTCGTTCAGGAGCTTAAGGAGGCACTTGACGCTGACATCCAGGATCGCGTCATGAAGGAGAGAGAGATGCAAAGTTACATTGAGGAACGCGAGCGCGAGGTAGCTGAGCGCGAGGCCGCCTGGAAAGCCGAGCTCTCACGTCGCGAGGTAATCGATTTTATCCTGTTACATTTGAATGAACATCGACGGAGCAAATGTTGCTTGTAATTGTCCATGTAAATATCTGTAATCTGGGGATTGGTCTGAATAGAAAGAGGAGGGGCTTCGAACTTCTTGTGATTGGCCTTGATGGATTGAAACTGTGAAATTTGTTTGAAAAAGAAAAAAAAGGATTACGTATGGGTCGTGAAAGCGATGCTGATGCAGCCACTTCCTCACTCGATTCCACCTCTTGCATATTCGGAGGGACCACTGCATCCCGACTACTCCATGAAACAACTTTCTGTTATTAATGATTTTGTATCACCATAGGTATATTTTAGCTGTAGTAAATTGGTGCGATAATAATACTAAAACCTTTAATAAATTTACAATAAAAATTAGCCAAAACATGAAAGTTATGCACCTCGGATAGAGACTAGGACACTGACCACTGTTGAATGGCCGAAGCCTTCCTAGAGTTAATTTCTACCCCTTGGGCCGAAATCACATAGCCTAGAAATTGAACACTTGGTAAAACAAATTCACTATGATGTATTGAGGTAAAGTTTATGAGATCAGAGAACCATAAAGATTGAGTAGTGGTATTGCACGTGCTCTTTGAAAGATTTGCTATATACTAATACACGATCAAAGTAAACAACACAAAAAATATTTAAAAATGGCTTAGCCCTTTGTTCATGAGCCTCATAAAAGTGTTAGGTGGATTGCATAACCCAAACAACATCACCTTTCACTCATAAATGCCCTCACGAGTTTTGAAGGTGGTCTTCCATTGATCTCCCTACCTAATATGAATTTGGTGATATTCTCCACAAAGATCCAACTTGAAAAATATGCTGGAGTTGGATAGCGTATCTAGCATATCTTCTAAGAGTGGAACCAAAAAATGGTATTTGATTGTGATTTAATTAATCGTGCGACTATCCACACACATTTACCATTGACCATTTTTCTTAGCCGCCAATAATGTTGGGACATTGCAAGGACTTATACTGTGCTGAATTAATTGTTTATCTAACAATTTATTAACTATGCATTGTAAAATCTGATGTTTTTTTGGACTCATCATGTAATGAGGGAGGTTGGGGAGAGAGACATTTAAAATTAGGTTGATCTGATGTTGAATGGGGCACATAGGTGGCAGTATGGACGATAATTTAGTGGGCCCTATATCCTTAAATTGCTTAAGTAAATCTAATATCTCTTTAGCAATTTTAGCTGCAGTCGAGTCCCTGTTACTTTCGTTCACTATAAGAGCTAAAAGAATAGCTAATTCTTTGAAGGATTTTAAGGTTATCTGTTCATAAACTGCACATATATTGGGTTTTTCATGATTGTTGGTAGTATTCAAAGTGTTGGATGTTGAAAGTAACCGAGGTTTCTCGGTCTTCCATTCAAAAGAGTAGGCATTAGAATGACATTCATATATTGTTCCCATATTGAACTGTCAAGCTTGACCGACAATTAAATGACAAACGTCCATGTCTTAAAAATCACAAAGTACCTCACAAACACAATATTTTTCAATAAAAAATTTGACACGACACATTTCCAATATATCAAAATACCTCATTTCACTCAACTAATCTTGTATGGATTATGATGTTTTCTAGTTTCAAGATTGAGAGTTACCACAAAACGAGAGATGATATTTTCAATGCAATCACTATCGACGAGTAAATCACATGCTTTTTCATTGATCGTACACTTGGATCAAAAGATTACATGACGTTGTGATGGGCTGGTTGTCGAGGAGCAATCAATAGTTATTTCTAAGACACATATAAAAGGTTCTTCTTCATCCCCATGAAGTTCTTCCACCTCATTCTCTTCCATTTCAAAATTTTTTTTGAACTCCATTATTTTCTGCATCTAAGAGCCGAAGTTGTTGTTGAGAGGGGCATTTATTTGATTTATGATCCAGTTGGAAGCATCCGTAGCACACTTAAGGTTGGTGGGTTTGCTGTAAGGATTATCCTTGACCCGCAATTTTGTTTTGCCGACATATTTAATGTGTAGTAAAAAAGTTTTTAATAGCATTTGGGGAAGAATTAAAATCGGATTTGCCTTCCGCCGATTGCAATCTCGTTTTATCTTATATAAGTTCCTGAGTTACCTTCCTTGTTGAACTTTTTTTGTATGTCGATTGATTTGATTTCTGCTTTATATGCAAAATTCACAACCCGCATCAAGGACCAAATCGAACTCAGCTCAAGTCTATCTTGGATTCCTTTTTTGAAACTTCAAGTATTCCTGTCAACCAGTTAATTGTTTTTCTCAGTTATATTATTCCACGCACTCAGCTGGCAGAATTGCTTGGTGTACTCGCTACCATTTCGGTGAGCTTGTGCGCAATGTTGGTGTTAAACGTATAACATTTGCTCGAAATCAGTGGGTAGAAAATGTCCTTTAGGGAATTGCTTCATTATACTCCAATTTTTGAGATTTCCATTTCCTTCTCACTAACGAGTTGTAACAATTATGATCAAATATGACTGCTACCCCTTTTAGTCGGTACACTACATATTTGACCTGCTTTCTACTGGAATTTCCATGTATTCAATAAAATTTTCCACAACCTACTCCCAATTGAGGTAGTCCTCAATGTGTAAATGGCTGTCAAAGAACACGATATTCATCTTAACTCAAAATTCATGTGGATTTCTATACCAGAATTCATGCTTATGATTTCCTGGTCTCTCGGTTGGGTAAAATTCTTCTTCATATGAATTAGAAAAATCAAATCACGAACACATATCTCTATGGCTTTCTGAGATAGAATGCACCACATCCATACCTAGCATTTCTCTTTCAGTCATTGTTCCCTAGAATGGATTGCAATTAGGATGGGGGGCTATCTGTTTCTCCGATTGGGTTGTTGGAGAAACACCATAATGAGTTCTTCAATGCATAACGTGGTGATTTCTTGTGTCTTCCACAATGCATCTAACCTTCGATCATCATCGTGAGCATCCATGCTCCTACTACCCTTAGCCATGCTCTGATATCAATATGGTGTGTAGTAGCTTTCAACCAAAAAAAAATCAAACAGAGAACAAATTATATATAATATGTAGCATACCGACTATTAGGGGTAGCAGTCGTATGGTGGTCACAATTGATACAATCCTGTCGATGAGAACGAATTGGTAATATTAGAAGTTGGTGTAGAATGAAGCATTAGAAGATATTTTCTACTCACTGATTTCGAGCAAATGTTATATATGTTCAATACCAACATTGCACACAAGGTCATTGAACTGTTAGGGAGTACACCGAGCAATTCTGCCGGCTGAGTGAACGAAATAATCTAAATGAGACAAACAATCAATTGGTTGTCATGTATATTGGAGGTCTCAAAGAAGCAATCCAAGATAGAGTTGAGCTGAGTTCGATTTGGTTCTTGTCGCAGGTTGTGAATTTCTTATATAAGGCAGAAATCCAAATCAATCAGTATAACAAAAGAAGTTTGACAAAGAAGGTATCTCAGAAATCATATAAAATAAAACAAAATTGTAGCCAGTAGAAGACAAATCCGACTTAATTCATCTTCAAATGTTGTTAAAAACACTTATACTACAGATTTTAGATTTGTTGACAAGAAAAAGTTGTAGGCCAAGGATAATCCTTACAACTAGGGTTGTAAATGAGCCGAACTTGAGTGAGCTTAGGCTTGGCTCGTGTTCGGCTCGTTCGAAATTGCTCGTGTTCGAAATTGTCTCGTGAGCAGTGTAATCGTGTTAAGCTAGATTTAAATATTCTTATTCATGTTTGGCTCGAAAATGATTGTTAAAATTGATTGAAAAAAATAGATGTAGGGTGTTGGATTCAAACTTGCACCAACTCTGTGTAATAACATGTGCAGAAACGCACGACCATACGAGTTGTTATGATTTAAATTTAAATATAAATATATATAACATATTAATATATAAATAATATATATAATATATTATTATATAAATAATATATAAACTTCTTTATTTCGAGCTAGAACAGGCCGAAAACGAGCGAACAAATGGTTGCTCGTGCTTTATTCGTTTATAATTCGAGCTTAAAAATTTTATTCTCATTCGACTCGTTTACTTAATAAACAAGCTGAACATAAGCCACTTAACGAGCCGAAGACGAGCTGTTCGCGAACAATGAGTTTTTTTGAAAGCCCCTTACAACAATTCTACCAACTTCAAGTGCTACAAATGCTTCCAACCGGATCATAAATTGAACAAATGGCCTTCTTGAGAACAACTTCAGCTCTTAGATATAGAAACAATGAAGTTGAGGAAAAATCTGAAACAGAAGATGGGGATGAAGGAAAACCTCTTATTTGTGTCTTAGAAAAACTATTGATTGCTCCTCGCCAACCAACCCAATCACAATGTCATGCAACATTTCAGACCAAGTGTACGATCAATGGAAAAGTATGTGATATAGTTGTCGATAATGGATGCTTTGTAATATCATCTCTAACTCTGTGGTACAATATCTCAATCTCAAAACTAGTAAACATTCTAATCAATACAAGTTTACTTTGGTAAAATGAGGTATTGATATATTGGTTACGGATATCTGTCGTCACATTTTTAATTGGAAAACATTTTGTTTGTGAGGCATTTTGTGATGTTTTAGACGTGGATGTTTGTCATTCAATTCTTGGTCAACCTTGGCAGTTTGATATGAGAGCGATATATTAATGTCGCTCTAATGCCTCTTCTTTCAAATGGAAAGACAAGAATCTCAAGTAACTTTCAACACCCAACACTTTACATACTACCAACAACCATGAAAAAACTTCCCTTAAAAAAAAAATAATAATAAATAAATAAAACCCTTAAATAATATAACCATGAAAAATCAAATATATGTGCAATTTCTGGACCGCTGATCTTAAATTCCTTCAAAGAATCAGCTTAGCTCTTGTAGTGAACGAAAGTAACAGGGAGTTGACTTCAGGTTTTGCACCCAAGTAGATATCAGATTTACAT